GTATGTATGGTTTGCCTCAAGGGAATTTCATTATAAAGGTTTTGGATGAGATTAATGTTTTGTTGTATTTAATATTTATATCTGGTTGTGCTTGGATGGTGGATTTGAACTTGGGAACCACCTTGAGTTTAGTGCATAGGAAAAGGCAGGCTATAATCAGTGGTAATAGTTTTCAAATGTATAAGAATTGAATAACTCGGACAAGCCGAGTGGATTTTTTTGTTATGGATTTGAAATGTCTAGCTCCGAATCCTTCGCGTTAATGACTCTACTGAATACTGATGGTTAAAATGATGGTTCGAGGACTGGACTTGTGGTATAAAGTTATCTAGATTGGTCGAATGTATATTATGAAGATCTCGAAATTCTTAGCTCTTTAGTCTTTGCAAATCAAATGCTGACTATAACGTTTACTTTGAACTGGTGGTTCTGGAATCTAACATTGGTAAGGTCACAACAGATTTATGAGACAATGTCTATATTATATGCCAGTTTGAGGAAATTTGGGAGTCCATGTATGAAGGTTCTATGAATTTGTTATGCGGTAGCCAAAAATTAATCAAATAAGAGCTAAAATTCTCATCTAGTGGAGTATCACTGTAAAATAAATAAGCAGATTTTGTGTTTGCTGGAATACAAATATGAAGATGCAGTGTGCTGAATTGATTTGACATGTTAATTTTCCTTTGGCATATATTGGACTATGCATGCCGAGTTTTTACATTGTTTTCCTTCTAAGTAGGTTTTAAATTTTGATTTGCGTCCTTTCAGTTTGTTGACTTCAGAGAATGCAGGAGCCGAGGGATAAGAAGCTTCTGCTCTGCACCCATTATGACGAGGCATGACGTCGTTACTCTCAAAACAGTTGATGGCGTAACAGTTCTGCTCCATGGACATCTCAATATGTCTCGCTCACTTGAAAATGGCTTCTCGCATGAGGTATTATTATTCGAGACTCATTCTTTATTCAATGCTCTGAAATTTAGATTAAAAATATGTAAGACATCTTTCAATCAGGTGTGCGAAAATTTTCAAATTGGGTTTCCATATTACTGGGAAGAATATGCAGCCATATCCAATGGTGAAGATTCGACCCCTGGAGGTAACTGTACCAGTAACTCATGCGGGAATATTTTTGACGAAATATTGAAAAACAAATGTGATGATGCTTTTAGTTGTGGTGAGGGCTCGAATGTGGATAAAGGAAACCCCAGGCAGAAAATAGGAAGCCCTCATGACAAAGTAAAGGAAGTACAACGTACTGTTCCTCTAACGAGAAGTAGAGCCCGTTTGCTCCCAACCAAGACATATATGATGTTAAATTGAGAAAAATGACTTCTTAAAAGAAAGTATTGTAAAAGATTAGTGATTTTCAAGTTCGTATTGCTGGGGAAAAAAACGGAGAACGAGAGAAGTAAGACACATGGATATTTTTACAAATGTTTGATGCAAGTCCTGATTTTATGTCGAAACAGAAGAGGAAATTTTAGCATGTGCTTGATATTGTCACTATGTCATGTATGAAGTTTTCGGACAAAAAACTTCAACTTTGCCCACTTAATTATCTAAATCTGTTGCAGTTTAAGTGAAGCAGATTTCAACAAAGTTTGATTCTTTATCCCGAGTTTTAGTTTTTATGTATGTTATTGCTAGTCTTCTATGAGGAGAAGCTTTTTAGATTATTGACCTCAACTTGCTTGTCCAAATGTCTTTGGAAAGTTCATCTTTTTCTTTTCTTTTCTTTTTTTGTTCTGCGTTATCATTTGTGGGGACTGTACAGCTTTTCTAGGCTTCATGATACACCACTCTTCTTGTGTTGGTCCTTATAACGTTTTAACTTGTTTATATGTGTGTCTAGAGACACCATACACAGACCTTCATATCACACTCACACACTCAAAGTTTATCTGAAATCACTGATGTGCAAGAAAAAAAAAATCTGATTTATGCTTAGGGAGTTTTCAAGAAAAAAGAAGTTTTAACTAGGGATATAAATGGGTCAGGTCGGGTGTGTGTTTTGGCAAAACTGAACCCGACCCGCATATAATTTACCCTACCCGTTACCCGTTAGTGAATTTCGGGTTCGGGTTGAGTTTTACCCAACGGGTTATCGGGTAACCCAAATTCATAAATTTGGGTTTTACTTGGTCCCAACCTGACCCAACCCGTTTCATGTGTAAAAAAATTAAATAAAATAATTCCACAATTAAATATATTTTAACTAACAATTTATTAAGTAAGTTTAGCAATAAAATGACTATAAAAAAATCTATATTATTTTTGGAATAAATATTGAGATATAATTATTTATTTTTTTTTGCTAGTTAATAATATAATCTAAAAATTAAGTATTAAATTTTTATATTCTACAATTAAAAGGAAAATTGATAAAAAAATCAAAAGAATGAAATAAAATCTAAACCATTAACCAAATTATAAGAAATAATTTAATTTTTTATTTATAATATGATATATATATAAATATGTATGTATAAGATTTTATGTTTGCGGGTAAACGGGTCGGGTAACGGGTTTTTTTATCGAACCCGACCTGACTCAACCCGACCCGGGGTTCGGTAGCATAATTCGTCCCGAAACCCGATCATTCCGGGTTTACCCGACCCAAAAATGCGAGTAACCTGCGGGTAACCTGACCCTGCTGATTTTATTGACATGCCTAGTTTTAACCTTTGTTAACTGTCATCTTCTGTGCTTTTTCTTAGGGTCAATTTAATGGTAAAAAACCTGGTGAAGGTAGGATCGAATCTTCTCTGATTCCTTGTGTAGAGTTTTTTTTTTTCTTTTTTTTTCCTAAAATTACTAGGTGTTAGGGCTTGCTTGCATATAAAAATTTCCACTCAAAATGGATTTTTTTTTGTTGGTTAACCAAGGTTGATTTGAAAACAAAAAATGGTATAGTTTGTTGATAGTGAAATTTTGAGTTTATATTAAGATAATATTTAAAATAAAATAATTAAAGTTGATTTTATGTAAAAGTAAGAGATATGTGATGTGAAGTGTTAGCTAAAATTATGTGAGTGCATAAATAATGAATTAAAGTTGATGTGGTGTGTAAGAATGATTGATTGATATTATTTAATTATATTAATAATATTGAGGAAAATGAAATTGAGTTAGATTTTGAGTTGGATTGTGTATGGATTGAAAATTCTTATTAGGTTTGTTAAGAGGCTCATGTTATTTAACGCAATTCATCTACAACCCTAATTACTATACACAAATTATTGACCGCCGGCCCCCCTGCTGCACCTTGATGTTCCTGTAGTGCTCCGGCGCCTTCTGAGATGTGCTGCCCTAGGTCTGCGGCGAGTTCGCGGTTAAGATGGCGAGCTCCTTGGTCGACGATCGGTCTGCAATTGGTGGCGTCGATTGTCGGAAGGTCTCGATTGGAGGTAGGTTATCTTTTTTTGCTGATTTTGGTCGCAATTTTTGGGACTCCCATTGGGCTGTTCGTCTTTTCGAAGGGGCTCCATTTGGGGCTTTTCCGGTGGGGCTCCGATTTGGGGCTTCTAGTCTTGGTGCAGGCGGAGTACAGTGATGGTGATTGGTTGTGGGTCAGCAGGTGGGGTGGGACTCTGGCGTTGGGTGGGATGTTGTCTCGCCGGTGACAGGGTTGAGGGACCGTTCTTCATCTCTTTTCCAGTGGTCGTCTATGTCCTTTCGGGCCGTCTATGGTGCTTTACTCTCGTGATTTTGTTGGGTTGTGTCGGTTATCGGGGTTGGCAGAGGTTCTTTCGGTGGGTTTCGGCTCGTTGAACAGGAGCTGTGGGCTCCGGTTGGCGGCGTGATTGCGGCGGAGTTGGGTGGAGTGAGGCTTTGTGGTTGAGGCGATTTTCTGGGGACTACGATGTCTCGGGATATGGTAGTCGGAGGTGAGGGGCCATGACGCCACCACCACCCTCCGTTTGGCTAGTGGTGTTAGGCGGCGGGGGTCCGGTTTACTCGAGTGCAGCTAGTGGTGTTAGATGTGCTCAGGGGATCTTGTGTGAGGGTTGGCTTGGCCTGGTTTCCTTTCGGTTTAATGGCGGGTCGATTCAGGGATTTTTCTGGGAGTTGGGTTCACCTACTGCTAGGCGTTCGTGCAGTTTCAGTAGCGGGACTTGGGCTCGGGATATTTCTGGCATCGATCGGTCGCTACTGGTTAGGGCGGTGACGATTAGCTGAGGAAGGGCCAGTTTAAATTTGTTTCCGATGTTGGTTTTTATTTTCGTTTTTATTCCTGTTTTCGTTTTTGTTATCGTGTTTGTGTTTGTAGGTTTGTTGGTGTTGTTGTTTCTCTTTTGTTTGTTAGTGGTGTTGTGTTTGTCAGGATTGCCCCAGTTGGCTCGAGTGCAACTTTATTCTCCTGGTGGGAGCGCACTCGAGTATTTTCCTGTTGGGAGGGTTCTATTTTTGTGTTAGTCGTTTTGTAGTATTGTTCGTTTTGGTTTGTTGTGTTTGGTATTCTCGCGTTGCGAGCTAGATTCCGTCTAGGTTGCATTGGTGATATTGTAACCTCTCAGTTACCCAGGATTCGGGCTTTGCCCTTGTACATTGCCAGTTGGCGTTTTTAATGAGAAGGTTATGTCGTTGGAAAAAAAAAAAAAAAAAATATCATACTTTTATTTACATTGTTTTGTAAAGTGCGAGACACTTTCTAATAGAAGTATGTTGAAACTAGTATGCCATCTGATTTTTATATTATTTGCTTAAGATTTCAAATAAAGCATTAGAACCTCTCCAAAGCCCATAAATGTGTAAGATCAGTGTAATGCATGCCCACCTAAAAATAAAAGATAGGGACATCACCATTGATATCAGCTGCTTTATACAGAAATCCATAACAAACAGAATAAATAAATAAATAAATAAAAATATCTCCCCTGAATTAGAGCTTTCATCTGATCAAATATTTTGGAGCCTATTACCTAAATAATAAGCATTGAGTTTTGTGCTTGTTTTTCTTGAAATTACAGGAAAGATGGTGAACTAACACTAGCTAGCGTTGACCAATGTTTATCAAATTGCTGGTTGTTTGTAATTTATATTATTATTAACTAAGACCAATAAGCAGAAAAGGGAATCCTTCTGATTATTTGACTAAACTATGTAGATTCCTGTTTTTGTTGTACTCAATAAGTTATAACTACATTGCATTATAAAATTCAACTCTATTATTCATGACAATTCATTATAAAAAATTGGAGGTTACTTCTACAGTTCTACTACGGGTGAAATTGTGAAGAAATTCAACACAATTATATTAAATTATCTGGTGCAACTTTGTCTAGTTTCTATCTTCTGATGATGGTGAAGTTAAGGCTGTCATGCGAGTACAAAATTGCTATTTCCTTTATACGATATCATACACAAACTCATGACAGACAAAATTTGAATTCATTTTGTACTCGATTTATTTATGAAACTTGCATTGGGTGATCCTTTTAGCATAGAGATTTATTTTTATTATTATATTTTTTTTTTTGAGCTATTTTGAAATTATTTACAGTGTAATTTATATTTTGGCAAGTAAATGGTACACTTCATGCATGTGACTGTGAGCCAACGATTGACTCATACTACGAATTATGAAATGATACATTTGTATACGTTCTAATTAAATATTAATTTATTTTATATCACGAGCCATTAGAGTAATTATGAAATGATACATTTGTATACATTTGTATACGTTCTAACATCATCTCGATTTCGAGATGTTAAAATTACATGAAAAGAGAAAGCAGCTTTTGTAATCAATAAAAGGTGGTCTACATGACGACAAATGGAGAAGCCTCAACTAAGGCCTACAACCATAACAATCTTTATGACTTTATCCTTTGATGTATAGATCTTAGAAAAAGTCAAGGTCCTATCAATTTGTACTATTTTATTTCCTGATTCTAAGACAAACGTAAGTCTTTTGGATGCTTTAAGACAGTGTGGGTATCTACCATTTTTCTTTTACTCTTTTTTCATTTTTTTTTAATTCAGCACAGATTAGACAAATGCAAAAGCATCACAAATAAAATTTCATTTCATTTGAAGCATCCAATGTTGCCATTTTCAAGTTTTACATCTCAAAGCCTCAAAGTTCATACATTTGAGGCTACACTAGTTTTTTAGTTCCTCAATCAATTTTTTTACCATTATTGTAAGCATAGAAACAATTAGGAATACTTTCTTAGAAATCAAGACTGGTGTATTGAAATATGTTATTGAGGTTAGATTGAATTTCCAAATGTAGTGATATGATATTTGATCAATATTGAAGTTTACAATGAAAGCTAGCAACTCTAGAACACATCCTTTTGATGTCTATTTTGAAGTTTAGAAATTACATTGTTAGATATTCTTTTTCACCGCCATTTACTTTTTGATATATTGTTTTTTTTTTTTCTGTTAGATTATGGGAATTGATTTGGGGCAATGAAGACAAATTTTTAAGGTGATACTGGATATAAGATTTATTGAAAAATATTTGTCTCCAATGAAAAACCAGATGAAAAAAATAAAAAAAATATTTTGAAAAGAGTAAGATAAGTTTGAGATAAAAAGTAATGATTAAAGTTGATAAAATATAAAAATAATTAAATATTTATTTATAAGATTGATGGTTTTAATATGGAATTGAATATTGTTGAAAAATATATAATGATGATATTTTTATTTTTTAATAAGGATAATGGGATTTTCAAGGGAAAAATATAAAATGAATGCATATTACTTTTTGTAAACCTTTTATTTTTTCTTAATTTCAGTGAGATAAGCTAGATTGTTATTTCTCCAGCCTAATCTCCAAAAACAGTGTCACTTGATACAATTGTTAATTCTCCAGCCTCGAATTCCTCAACCTTTTCAATCTCACTTTCTTGTTGACCTCAAAACTCTCAAATTTATCTGCATTAGTCTTGCTAGTTGCTAAACTTGCTATAATAAGTCCAAGAAAATCTTAGGTGGTATTTATAAATTATATCCTTATAATAATGTGTATGTGTATATTTTTTTTTTCATTTTTGCAGTCAAACAAACCCCAATATTACATATATTTAATTTAATCCATTAGTTTATAGTTAATGCAAAATCTAAACTCTAGATCCACAATATATAACACATAAATAGTCTCTTTCAGTATACATATATTTAATTAGCTGTAAGGATCACAGTAAGGTCAAGGGCCAGTCACCAACTCTCACTCATTCACACAACTGTAAGGAATTTGGACTTCCAATAATTAGTCCACTCTCTCTCATGAAAAATCTCTTATTTTCCATTGTTTTTATTATACAAAAATTTATCTTTGCTAGCCACCATTTTTGCGCTTCCTTTTCTGTAGAGCATCTCTTTCTGTTTACATTTTGACTTTAGACTCAACGAAAGCTGAAAAAATAGTTCAAACTCTACAAAAGCTGAAAAATGTAAAGAAAAAAAAAGGAAGGGCCTACACACACATAACCTGTGTTTTACTGCTTTTTTTAACACAGTCCCCGTAGCCCTAAAAGCCATTGTTGCAAACTTGCAGCAAGCAGATTGCAGAGGGTTAAAAAAAGACGAGAGCTTTTCTTTAAGAAAAGTAGTCAAAACTCAAAAGAACCGCCTTTCCTTAAAAGCCAATTTCTACTCACGCACGCGGTAATCTGCTGAGATTTTCAGAATTAGCGGCAAAAAGGGTAACGAAGTTATGATACAGATCATTCGGGAGTTTGACTGAAACCGAGGTTTTTGAAGACCCATTTTGGTGTTATTGCCCTTTTGCGTCTGAAAAATTCAATCTTGGTGCTTTTTTTTTCTGCTGTAATGATTATTTCTTTATATTCCTTTTTTACAGTTACTGGTTCATTTAGTTTGTTTGCTTATGTTTCCAATGGTTGGGATGTAATGGGTTTTGCGTTTGTCTGATTTGCAGAGATGGGTTTTGAAGGGTTTACACATNTTGCAGTTTTGAGTACTTTGTGAGGTAATACAATTTGAAAGATTTATGTTTAGTTGAAGGTTAATCAATTTTCAGAGCTTTGAGCTATATTTTTTGTTGATAGAGAAATGAGTTAGACTAAAAAGATATGGGTCTATGAGAGTGTTGAAGTCCTGTGATTTTGTACCTTATTAATACCCAATTTCAGATTTTTTTCATGTTTTTTATGAACCATGTTATAATAATCTCTGAATAGAGATGTCTGATTTTATTGCAAACAATGGATAGTTACTACGAAATGAATGTCAATAAAAATTATTTTTAGCAGACAAGTGTGTTTTAATGAGTTTGAAGCTATCTTTCTTAGTTGATTTTTGTTGCAATGGCAGCTTCCCAGATAGAGTACTAGAAGAAGAAGAAGATAACTCGGTTCATCCAACTGAAGCACCTCATCCACAGAAATTCGAAACCGGCACAAAGAAACAATCATCGAATGTTCAAGTCGAAAATTCTTTGAGGCAAGAGGTATAAATGCTGATTTTAACAAAAGCTAATATCTTTCCTAGCTGTTGAGTCTTTCAGTACAATTTTACATTTGAGGATTGGTTACAAATTTATTTTATCCCCACCTATGCAGATATTGACGCTCGAAAAGAGATTACACGAACAAGTCTCTGTTCGTTGTGCTCTGGAAAAGGCGCTTGGTTATAAAAATTCTGCTCATGATAATATTACAAATGAAGAAGCTACTATCCCTAAGGTAGTTTAGCAAATGCATGTTGTTAGTTGTTACTATCAATAATTTTGGAGAAAATTACACTTTTATTTTAGCAGGGGTTTAATTGAAGTGTTTATATGTCTATTTCTAGTCAGCCACAGAACTCATTCGAGAAATTTCCGTATTGGAGCTAGAAGTCGGGCATTTGGAACAATACCTTCTTTCTCTATACAGAAAAGCGTTTGATCAACCAATCTCATCTTTATCTCCAAAAAAGAAGATGGAAGAACAATTCAAATCTCGCATAGTAACGACACCTAGGAGAAGGCGGCTCGATTTTTCTAGGTCCGATTCATTAAAGGAAAAAAAATCAGCTAAAGGCGGCCCATTTGAAGAGAAGTTTCTAGATTCGAGCGTTCAACGATCTCATTCGTCACTATCGCAACGTGGGGCACTGCTAAACCGAGCCTCCTCTCCACCATCAGATGACCTCGGCAAAGCTTTACGTTCTTGCCATTCTCAACCGTTATCCATGATCGAGGTACAACACTGTAAAACCCTATCCATGATTTTTATTTTCTTATATTTTTGTTTAATTCTTATTCACGGTTATTTTGGATGCTTGTGTGAAGATGTTTACGGATGCTTGGATATAAGATTTTTTATTTTGATTGGATTTTCCGGTTTGATTTGGTTAAATTTGAAAAATGTGGTATGTTTAGTTGTTGGTGGGATTTTGAATTTATATTAAAATAATAATTAAAATTAATTTGATGTAAAAGTAGGAGAGAGATAATGTGAAGTGATGGTTAGTTAAAATTATGTAAGTGGATGAATAGTGAATTAAAAGTGATGTGATGTGTAAAAATAATTGGTTTATATTATTTAATTATATTGATAATATTGAGGTTTGTGGGGTTGAATTAAAGTTGAGTTTAGATTTTGAGTATGAATTGAGTATGAGTTGAAAAAATCAATAAACAAACAAAGTTTCAGCCAATGTTCAACGTAATTGCAAATAAGCACATTTCTATATTAGTCTTCAAAGAAAGCACGGTTCTCTTGTAATGAAATCAAACATCATGGTAATTTTTTGTTTCTTACAGTATGCTCAAAACTCATCATCATCACACGTTATTAGTCTTGCCGAGCATCTCGGGGCCAGCATCTCAGACCACATTCTTGAAACGCCTAACAAGCTTTCGGAGGATATGGTAAGGTGCATGTGCACCATTTATTGCAAGCTTGCGGACAATCGCGGCCTCTCATCCCCCAATTCTTCTTCCGTGTCGTCATCCACGAGCGCATTCTCCCCAAAAGAACAATGTGGTGGTGACAATGACATGTGGGGCCCGGGTTTTCGAGTCGACTCTTCATTTGACGTTCGTTTGGACAATCCTTTCCATGTGGAGGGGCTAAAGGACTTTAGCGGTCCCTACAGCTCGATGGTCGAAGTCAACTGTTTGTTGTTGTACAGAGATAGCCAGAAATCGGGCGATATTGAGTTCTTGTTACAAAATTTTAGGTGAGTTGAATTATTTTGAATAAGGGATTAATTAACCGAAAAGAAAAAAACGTAATGTTGTCGAATTAATTTGAATTTTTTCGCAGGTCACTTGTGTCTCGATTGGGGGAGGTCGATCCTAGAAAGATGATGCATGAAGAAAAGTTGGCGTTTTGGATAAACGTGCATAACGCTTTGGTGATGCATGTAAGATTATATATATATTCATCCGCAATTTTCTTTCGAACTTTTAACGTAGTAAATTACAAACACGATATCAATCATAGCCGACTCTTTTTATGTTTTTATTTTTTTACTTGTGTAAACTAAACAGGCATTTTTGGCGTACGGCATCCCACAGAACAATATGAAGCGAATGTTTCTACTCTTGAAGGTAAAAAAAATGAAATAAAATAAATAAATAAATAAATATGATTTCTCCATGGATAGTCTTGAAAAAAGAATGTGTTCTAAACATTTCTTTCTGTTCATTGTTCATTCAGGCTGCTTACAATGTCGGTGGTCAAATAGTAAGCGCTGATGTCATACAGAGTTCGATCTTAGGATGCCGAATGTCTCGACCCGGACAGGTACACTCGTAAATTACTTCCATCACATGCAATTTCAACTTCTTTTTTTTTTTTTTTTTTTTTTTTTTTTATGTGTGTGTGTGTGTGCGTCGAGTATAATTTGCCTATGCTCATTATATTTGCTCGGTTTTACAGTGGCTTAGGTTGCTACTTCCATCAAAATCAAAATTTAAATCCGCTGACGAGCGACAAGCATATGGGATTGAACGACTCGAGCCACTTCTCTACTTTGCCCTCTCGTGCGGGTCGCACTCTGATCCTGCGGTAAAATCAATTTTTCACCTTACTATGAATCTGTTTTTATACAATGGATTACACCCTCAAATTTCACCTAAGGCTATGTTTGGTAACCAAATAAGCTAGGTTATAACTTATTTGGTTAGCTTATAAGCTTCCTCTATTCAAATAAGCTTCGTTTGGCAGGACGAACTTTTTTAGAAAACTCGAGCTTATATCATAAATTTCTTTGGGTAGCTTTTCAAACAAGCTCGTTGAAATTTTTATTTCAGCTACCTTATCAGCTAATTTTACCAAACATGTTTATCATATAAGCTAGCTTTTCAGCTATAAGCTCGAAAATCACTTATAAGCTATAAGCTAGCTTATCAGTTTTACCAATCATAGCCCTTATCACCTCTAAAACTTTAAGAAATACGAAGCTTCGGTTATCTTTTGAATACGACAATCACCCCACTTTTCTCACAGGTTCGTGTTTTCACGCCCAAGAGAATTTATCAAGAGTTGGAGGCAGCCAAAGAGGATTATATCCGAGCCACATTTGGGGTACGAAAGGACAATAAAATCCTTCTCCCGAAAATTGTGGACTCGTTCGCCAAAGACTCGGGACTCTGCCAAGCAGGTGTTCTTGAGACAATCGAAAAGTCCCTCCCCGAGTCGTTGAAGAAGAGCATCAAGAAATGCCAGCTGGCGAAGAACAAGAAAAGCATCGAGTGGGTCCCACATAATTTTTCCTTCAGGTACATTATAATGAAGGAGATCGCGAGGTGAAATTACGGGTTTTGGCTTCTAGAGGCTCNTTCTGAATCTGAGCTCTGATTACATATGTTTTTCTGATCAAACACTCAGATGTAGTACAATGTTATGGACTAAATTTCAAGTGCATTTTCTTTAACTAATCAAAATTACTGAAGAAAAAAAGATTAAACAAAAAAGATAGGCAAGGATGCTAGTAATGATAATTCCAATCACAAAACGCAGAATTTATTAAGAAAAAAAAGGCAGTGGCACACATTCAGCCGCTGTTATTCCAACCGAGCTGCTCGGCATTGTTCGTGATTTGGTTCGTGAAAGTCTGATCGAACAAGTAACAACTAATCGAGCTCGTTTATTAAATAGGATTTTGGATTTATTAAATAAGCCGAGCCTATCCTTTACGAGCTTAAATGAGCCAAGAGCACGAGCTCAAACATGAATTACTCGGCTCAGTTCAAATAACACTTCTAAGATCATCCCTGTCAAATGAATCCTCTCAATTGTTTTCATATTCCGTTTTTTATATTTTGAATGAAGAATATAGCTTTTGTGTATTTTAATATTTTCATTAAAATCACAATTTTTCTTTTTTTGCGGAGCCAGGATAGTTGTAAGAGCTGCCCATCCAATTTAGAGCCTAGGCCTAGCTGGACCGGCCCAATAGATTTGCCAAATAAATTTGAGGAATTTGCACCCTCCACTTAAATAATATGAAGATATTACATAATTACATCCTATATATAATTATTTACAAACTAACTCAATTTGTTAATTTTATTTTCGTATATGCCTAAAAATATGTTTTTCATATTTATGGTATTGTTACTAAAAAATGGATCCTATATATAATTATTTACAAACTAACTCAATTTGTTAATTTTATTTTCGTATATGCCTAAAAATATGTTTTTCATATTTATGGTATTGTTACTAAAAAATGGAGGAATTAATGAGAGTCCATCGGTTACCAAAAACTGATTTCTTATTTAGATGGTAACTTCCATCAACTACGCCTCTCTCCTCCCCCCTTCCCCCACTCTCTTTTCTTCACACACGGCACTCTCTCTATCTTCTTCGCACAAGTCCGCAGCCACGCCTGGCTTCTCTGTCAAGTACGTCCCCTTCAAAGCCGTCTTCCACCGAGTCCTACTCCCTCGACGAGATCGTCTACCGAGCCATCCCTGCGGTCGTCATCAACATGTAGGCGATGCAAGAATCTTTTTCTATCGAGTCGACGACAGAGAAGATGAATATATTCCAGAGCATGATTTCCTCAATTACCGCCAGCGACGGCGTCCTCTAAAGAGGGTTTCGGCGTCTCCACAATCGGGGGAGATGAATGGTTGGTTGCAAAAAATTTGAATTTTGCTTCGATTTTTTAGGGTTTTAGACTATGTGTAGATTAGTCATTACGTTGAAATTTGTAGACATTGGATTGGAGTATATGTACAGTATATGTAAGTATATGTACAGTATATATGACTTGCTTCCTCCCGATGAGTGCAATATATGTAAGTATATATGTACAGTATGTACAGTATATATGTAAGTATATGTACAATATATATGTATTGGTTCTTGAGTGTTGTTTTCAGNTTTTTGAATGAAGACTGTCGGTCGACTGATTTTCGAAAAAATTCTGCTCGCCGGCGTGTGTTTCTTTCTTTTGTCCTCTCCGTATTTGTCAATATTATGAATTGAAATTCAAATATGATATCCTTCCATCTTGAGAGCTGGATTTATGGGCTAGAATCATGGAAAGGTTGTTCCATATCGTGTAACTGATATTAGGCATGACTTTAATTACTTTTTAATTTTTAGATATAAACACAATTTAATTGGTAAGAGTGGTAAAGGTGCAATTATATATTTAAAAAATGTGTAGCACAGGTGAAAATTTCCCAATAAATTTGGACTAAATTTGATAATACACCAAGTAATGCTTATTCCTAAATAGTTAATGTTCTGATTCAATAAATTATGTGTTGACAAAATATAGATTGTTGATTCTAGTAATATTATAATAAAAAATTAATGGATAATTACCAAAAATATTTTGCATGTGGATTAAAAATATTTGATATTTGAATATTTTTTTAAACTTTTTTAAATTACAAGAGAGGGTGACCTTTTTAGTGACCAACAGTGTTTTAAAATCGGCATAAGCGCTAGGCGGTACTCAGACATTACGAATTTTGTTTAGATAGCATTTTTAATTTTTTAGACGCGTGACCAACTGGGAGATGTCTAGACGGGCCAAGATGTTGCGAAGTTAGTGAGATCTAGGTTGACTAGCGAGCTAAGCATAGGTACCCCTTTATTTTTGCATTTATTTAATTATTTTTTAAATTATAATAAAATAAAAATTTCTTTATATGATGAAAATATGCATTCATTATAGAATAAATAAATATTATTATACTAAAAATAGTAGAATTTTTGGAATATAATAGTATAAATAATTATTGTATTTGACCTTATTAATTAGTTTATTTTATATAATGAAACTTGACTACAATAAATATCAATTTTACCTAGAGAAAATTCGTAGGTAAAAAACCCTTTTACCTATCGACTATCTGGAGAATAATTACATATTCTTCTATTGGTTACATGCTTGTTTGCAACAATGAAAATAATACTCCCTCCTGTTCTAAATCATTGTCGTTTTGTCTTTAGTGAGCATGAAGCAAATAATTGTCGTTTTAGCTTTTTTAATCTTATTTTTCCATGTTTACTCCATCCATGATCCAACTACTCTACATTATGCCTCTTCGCATTCAAGTTTCATCTTATCCCAGAACTCTATCTCTTTCCCATGGCAATCTGTATTTTTTTAACTCACTTTACTTCTTTATATTCATTCCAATCCATCTTCTACAATTTGTGTGTGTCATTTTTAATCCATTTTTTCTAGTCCTGTTGATTCTTATTCCATTGTTCTCCCCTTTATTTTTTTCTCTTTCGATTAATGGATTTGAAAGATCATGATGCTTCAAACCAGCCACTTATGGATGGAGTCCTTTAACTATTGGAGAAGACAAAGGTATATGTGTCGGATTCGGAAGTTGAAGACGATGTTCATCAATTTTCTACAAGAGGTTCATATATGCTTTCTCACTTTTTACTTGTTTCAATTGATTTATTTAGTTTTGGAAAAAAGATGCTAATCCTCGCTTGTTTATTTAAGCAGTTTATTATTTCTTCAGGAATTTTTTTTAAAAAAATTATTTTCTTAACTAGTCGTCATTTATTATGTAATTAATGGTAGATTAACTTAATTATTTGAGAATCTTTTGCTGAGTTTCACGCATAAAAAAGTGATTTTGATTTGAGGAGTCCGATTCAATACTGTTCGAGAACTGGTTTCTAAATTATGCAATTGCATATGAAACTTAAAGTTCGAAGAGAAAAATGCGGAAGACGATGGGTTTTCCACCTTTACAAGCCATTTTTCCTTTTCTTTTGACTGTACTAATATTCATTAATTAATTTTAATTTTTATCAAATAAAGGGTAATAGAGACAACAAAAAAATTTCTTAATTTAATGTCTAAAACGACAATTATTTAAAACAGGAGGGAGTATAATATATCAATAAAATGCCAACAAATTCAGCTGTTGGTAAATATTTCTCTAGATAATTTACAAAAGATTACCTACATATTAGCCAGACTGATGCCAACAAAATACCTACAGAATACCTAAGAGATTTTTCCACGACACATTACTACTGAATACCTATACACATTATATGCCTACTCAATATATCTACATATTATTTACCTACATAATACTTTGAGATTTATGCCTACAGATTACACATACTAAATAGCAATTACCTACCACAACTAAATAACTAAATAGTTAGAGATTACCTAGAATTTTGTTCAGAACACATTATTATAGAACACCTAGAGAATAATACACCTACAAACAACTATATAACTAGAGGTTACCTAGAGATTTTTCCAGTACACGTTACTACAGAATACCTAGATATTTTTATGCCTACAAAAAATTAATAACCTCAATCTCTTTCTCTTATCAGTTTATACACACTGTGTTTATGCCTACAAAAAAATAATAACCTAAGCATGCACAAACAATTAATTTCGGCTAAGCCAAATAATTATATGATACATGGTTCACACTAATTTAATTATATATAATATAATTATATGACACATGGTTCACACTATTTTATATATGATACACAACATTGTTAAACTATAATGTATTTTGTAAAATATTTGTAGGCAATGTCCAGGTGATCTCTAGACATTTATCTATCAAAATATTGTAGGCAAATACCTAAAGAAATATTTGAAGGGAAATGTTTTTGTACATAATTGTAGAAAAAATATATTGTAGGCAATCTCTAGCCATTCAATACCTAAAGAATGATTTGTAGGTATATCTTATTTATAGGCAATTTCCATGCAATCTCTAAGCATTTACGAACAAACTATATTTGTTGGCTATATTTGTTGGTATATAACTAGTATTTTTTTTGTTGGGATTTGTTCGTAATCTATAGTAATTTTTTTCGTCAAATTTACAAATTTTTGTAGATGTTTGGTAGGTAATATGTTGTTGTTTAATAATAAAAAAAATTATGTTGGTAATATTTGTAGTTATTTGACATTTTTATCGTAGTAGTCTATACAGATTGACACATAAATAGTCTACTGTCCGACTAGCTTAGGGATTTGGTAACCTTATGTAACCTTAAAACCTTAATGGTTATGTACCTCTCTTAGCTATATTTTTTTTAACACGGACAAAAAGTTCACGAGGAAAAATTTAAAAAGTAGGTCATAATTGGGGTGTAAGATATAGTTATATTAAAAGCGAATTTATCAACAATTTTCTCCTCAATTTGAAGACAATTTTATAAATTCAATTTTTTGTCAAAATCGACTCATTATGCGCACATGTCCCACTGAATTTCGGCCAAAACTTGCTAGCTAAGAGTTGATAAGGTGAGCATATATAGATCATAATCATTGCCTAAGGTGTCATTATTGAAGATGGCACTTCATAACAATATAAAGTACCTAATAATTTAAAAAGGGTC